TAGCAAAAATCTCTCTCAAAAAAAAAACCCAATAAAACAAACATAGTATCATTCACATTAGTACACAAAAAAGTGAAGTACTCAGGTGTAAATCTTGCAAACTATGTACAAGATTTTTATGAAGAAAACTACAAAGCTCTGATGAAAATGAGCAAAATACCTAGAAAGCTACCTCACCAGAGAGTGGGGTAGCATATAAAAGGTGTTTCACATCATACGTTGTTGAGAAATGCAAACTAAAGCAACAATGAGATGTCACTGCACACCTAGGAGAATGGCCAAAATCCAGAACACTGAGAATACCAAATACTGATGAGAACGTGGGACAGTGACAATTCGCAATCATTTCTGCTGGCAACGAATAAACGCTATTGTCTTTGGGAAGACAGTTTGGCAATTTCTTTCAAAACTCAACATACTCTTGCCATACGATCCAGAAGTTGTGCTCCTTGGTATTTTCCCAGATAAACTGAAATTTATGTTCACACAAAAACTTACACAGAGATTTTTTTAAAGATTTTTGCTATAGGGCATGTGTGCTCGCCACAGAAACAGAGCGATATAGAAAGACAGAAATTGAGAAATCACCCCTTGGGGAGATGACCACAAGGAAATCCCTCCTCCTCCATTCTCCTCTTGGGATTTTGGGCACACATGCACACGCGCCTGGTGTGAGTTTTAAGCTGCAGGATCTGGGACTCAAACCACGGTCAACTACGTGAGACTCCAGTCACATAACTATTATGCTGATCTCACACACCGATGTTTATAGGGGGCCGAGGTGGCATGGAGGTTAAGGTACTGGATTCCACATGGACAACTGCATGGTTTGCGTCCCAGACCTGGTGGCTTGGAAAACACACCAGGAATGTGTGCGTGTGTGTGTGCCCAGAATCCTGAGAGGAGAGTGAAAGAGGAGGGATTGCTGCGTGGCCATGCTCCAAGGAGTAAATTCTCACTCCGTCTCTCTCTCTCTCTCTCTGGTACGTACCCTATAGCAAAGACAGAAACAAAAATGGAAACCATGGAGACCACTAAGATGTCCTTCGGTAGGTAAGTGGGTAAACAAACTGCGGTACATCCGGATAATGGAGTGCTGCTCAGTGCTAGAGACGAATACGCAGTCAAGCCACGAAGACACACGGAGGAACCTAACTGCATTCCTAAGTGAGAGAGCCTGTCTCCAATGACACGCCATTCCAGAAAAGGCAGCACTATGGAGAAGGTAGAGAGAGCAGGGCTTGGGAGGGGAGGGGGGGTGAGTAAGCAGAGCACAGAGGATTTTAGGGCAGTGAGTCCTGTATGGTGGATGCATGTGCATGTCATCACACATGGTCCAAACATGTAGGATGCACTACACCAACAAACCCTCACGTAAACTACAGATGTTGAATAATGGGGATGTGTAAGTTCATCAGTTAAAAAAAAAGGTACCTTTCCAGTGGCGGAACTTGATAAGGGTGGAGTCTATGCATGAGTGCCTTCATGGGAGGTCTCTGTACCTTGTCAATTTTGCTGTGGACTTAAAACCATTCTCTCTCTCTCTCTCTATATATATATATATATACACACACACATACACAGACACATATACATACATATACACACACACGTATATTATATACATATATACATATACACACATATATACACACACATATATACATACATATACACACACATACACACGTATAGTATATATACACACACATATACACACACATATACATACATATACACACATACACACCCGTATATTATATATACACACACATACATACATATACACACATACACCCATGTATATTATATATGTACACACACATATACACACATATATACATACATATACACACATACACACATGTATATTATATATATACACGCACATACACACATATATACACATACACACGTATATTATATATACACACATATACATACATATACACACATACACACACGTATATTATATATACACATATATACATACATATACACACACACATGTATATTATATATACACGTACACACACATATATACATACACATACACACGTACACACACGTATATTATATATATGCACACATATACACACATATACATACATATACACACATACACACGTATATTATATATACACACATATACATACATATACACACATACACACACGTATATTATATATAAACACACACATATACATACATATACATACATATACACACATACACACGTATATTATATATACACACATATACACACATATACATACATATACACACATACACACACGTATATTATATATAAACACACACATATACATACATATACATACATATACACACATACACACGTATATTATATATACACACATATACACACATATACATACATATACACACATACACACATGTATATTATATATATACACATATATATACATACATATACACACATATATTACATATATATATATATATATATACACACACACACACACACACACACACATATACATTTACTTTCATACACATACATTTACTTATATGTATAATCTTTAAAAACAAGCAAACAAGAAACCAGCAGATGGCATGGTGGTTAAGACACTGGACTTCTACACAGCTGACCCTGGTTTGAGTCTCAGACCTGGTGGTGTGTAAATCACACCAGGCAGGTGTATGTGTGCCCAAAATCCCAAGAGGAGACTGGACAAGGGATTGTGGAATGGCCATTCCCCCTGTGGGGGTGGTTTCTCACTTTCCTTCTCACTCTCTCTCTCTCTCTGGAGAGTGTACATGCTCCGTGGCAAAAACCTTTTTTAAAAAGGCAAATACTTCCAGAGTGCTTGGTCTGTAGCCCTTCTTCTGTTCATCAATAATCTCCACTCCTGATGCCCTCTCTCTGCATCTTGTGTGTGTCCCCTTCGACGCTGAGCACTCAGCACGGACAAGTCTTAGTCCTCCTCCGGAGACCGTCCTCACATCTCCCCCACTGTCCAGGAGACGTGGGGAAAGAGGCCCGAGGATGGGATCTATCTGGGGGCATCTGGAAGCAGAACGAGAGCTCCATTCTGACAAGGAGCCAGCCGGTGGCTTGCGTTCTGTACTTGGGGCTGGGCTGCAGTGCTGGCGTGAAGAGAAGAATTTTCCCGAGCCTTTATATATCAGACTCTGGGAGGGGGAAAGACGGCAACCAGTGAAGCACTGAGCGGGGGACGAGAGCCTTAGGCCCCTGCACGGCTTCCTCCAGGGCAGGGAGAAGGTGGAAGCCTGGGGGTCACGGCCTCGGGCTGCGGAAGGACGGAGCAGTACCAGGCATTCAGCTGGTAGAGGCCACCTGCTCTGAGGACCAGACCGTGCCACTCCTAACCGTCCTGCGTCACAGGTTTACACTGGAGACACACCTGTGACGTTGACGCAGAGGCTCAAATTAATGCCTGTCAGACGGGGCTTCCCAAAGTCCAGCTGTGCCATGTTCCTGATTTCAATGTCTTGGTGACAAGAAGCAGCAGTGTGCACAGACCCACACGCCTGAGAGCCATAGCACTGAGGCGGCCACGCTCTGAACGGTCAGACAGACAGTCATGAACCCTCAAGGCGTGCCCATGCGCTCTCAGAGGTTAGAGCGCACCATGCCACATGCGTGAGCTTCACCATGAACAAAGACAACACTGGAACTGGACCAGCCGCATTGGTGTCGTGCTGACATAATGCTCTGTGATGCTGAAACCACCTGGAAAGGTCCCAGGTTCACCTCCTGAGGCCTCCCTGTGCATGCTGGGCTTGTGCACGCGTGGTGGGACCCAGGATGGCTGGGGCTGGGGCTGGATCGCAGCCCGAGGACCAGTGGTGGTGCCTTTCTCTCATAGGAAAAACAAACGAAAAATAACTGTTTTTAAATGACAGGTTTGATGGATTAGTTATGCTTCTTAAAATACATATTAAAACCTAAAGGAAACCGGGCTGGTCTGCGACTGTGCTCGGTCACTGGTTCTCACGTAGTCAGCACACCAAAGAGACCTGCAGTTCCCTGGTGGTATCTCGGGGTGGAGAGGCCAAGGGCAGAGGCTTCACCAGGCTCCCAGCACCCTGCGCACCATGCACGCACATGTACATGCACACACACTTGCATGCACACACGCTCACACCTTCAAGTGCAGCTCTCCTGGGAGCTGAGGTATATACAGGACTGCTACTCAAAGACTGTGTTTGAAAACCAGGTTCCGGTCACACGTGCTTCATCTCAGCTCTCTACTCCTCATCTGCCTGATCCCGAAGCGTCAGCACACAACCTCTGTGACTGCTGCAGTGGGTCCCTTCCACCCTGTTCAACTGGCAGAGGGAAGAAGATTGTGGATTCTGGCGGCCAGCTCTGTCTCTGTACACCCATCTTGTCCCCCGCGGTGGTGGACAGGAACCCCAGATGCCTTGCGAGGTCATCCTGTCCTGGGCAGGGAAGGACACGTGTCTCTCTTTCTAGTAGAGTATACGGATCTCTTCCCTTGCACTGTGTGAATGAGACACTTTCTGTCTACACAGCAAGGTTTTGCGGAACTAGTCGAGGATCAGACCTCGTTTTCCACCTTGTAAACTGCACAGCTGGCCAGCTGCCTCTCTGCCCAGCCAAACTCCTATCTCTCTGGGTCTCTGCCGAACGGACCAACAGTCGCAAACCAGGTTCCCTCAACGGTCCTGGGGGTTTGGGAGACGCACCACACAGCTGTGGATCGTTTTTTGGGTAACACCGACATAACTTGCTCTCCGACTGACAAGAGGAAGCAGAGGCCAAGAGGAATTTCAACAATCTGTTTCTCAGATATTTCAGAACAAAGGAAGAACCAGGCAGGGAAAGGGAGAGAAGAGGAAGGAAGAGAAGATGCCAGGGGCATGTGGAGAGGGGCGTGAGGTGCAGTTGGGGCCGGGAGGATATCAAGTGACCAGAGTGTTAACCCCTGCCTCTGCTCCCCACTCCCCGCTCCTCTCCGGAGAGAACTTACCTGGAGGTCGACGATTTCCCTCTCGGATCCCATCTTGCTGCCTCGAGTCCCTGTACAGTACCGGGTGCCAGGAGCAGACTGCGTGGGCTCCGCCGGGCTCCGCTGCCCAAGCCTCTGCCGCTTTCTTAGGGTGGGAGCGTGCACAGCTGCAGGACAGACCTGCTATTCATCCATCCCCTGCGGGATGCCGTCTCGCCTAGCCAGGGGGGAGGTGTACACGTGCGAGTGCGTGCGTGTGCGTGTGTGTGTACTCCGGGCGTCCCGGGGGTGGCCTGTGCACCTCATTAGGTGACCTCCTGAACTGGTAGTGACAGCATTGTTTTCACCAGCAGCTCCAATGCCCCGCCAGTCCCCACGGAGTCATCTGAGGTCACCCGGCCTGCACAGAGCTGGGAGCTGGGGCTGCCACAAAGAGGCCCTGCATATTTACCAGGGAAGCTGAGAACAGCCTGCATGGAGCTGAGAGGGTCTCCAGACCCCGAGGGGGGCGTGGCATCAGCACAGTCATGGACTGAAGCTTAGGGACTTCTGGTGTCCCTTCCCTTGTCCTCTGTACTCCTCAAAGTCAAAAAAGGGTTTTTCTGCTTTTTGTTTTGTTTGTTTGTTAGTTTACTCAACAGGCCCCAAGCAGAAACCTTACTCTATAAAGTGAATAAAGAATAAGTCTTTATTGACTGATTCTATACCCTCAACTTCTCCCTTGATCAGCCGGACAGAGAGGGCAAGGAAAAGTTGTACCTTCAAGTCGTGTTTATGCAAGGAGTTTTAAATAAAGCCACCAGGAGTGACTTGTGACTTTTTCTGGAAAGGTTGTTTTTCTCCTGTTTACTTAGAGCCTTCTGGCTTGTTCCCGAGTCTGGTTTTAGACACAAGCTTGTGTGTGTGTGTGTGGGTGTGGGTGTGGGATGTCTGTGAACGTGCATGAGAGGGCATGTGTTCACGGGGAGTGGGGGGAGATAGGAGCCAGAGTTGTTTCTTATTTTAAGTGTATTTATTGTATTTTTGATAGCACGTGAGTATGTGCACACACAGGGAAGCTTCCTTGACAGGGTCTTGTCACACCATGATCCTCTTTCTCTTCCCACCCCTCCGGCCCGCCTCTCAGGATCTATGTCTGGCACGTTTCCAAGTGGACCTGGGACCCAAACCCACTGCTGGTCATGTGGCTCCCAGCACTGAGGTTCAGTATGCTGGCAGAGCTGGGCCCCGACCCAGAGTTTAGAGATGAAGGCGGGGGCGGGGCTGTGGAGGACAGGAGAATCACAAAACTCAGACGTGGAAGGGGGACAATGTCTTCTTTCCTTCCTCTTTCCTTTCTTTGTTCTTTTAAAAATATTATTTATTTTACATTCAGTCACTGAACATGATCACAGCATACAAGATGCAGTTTCCTATCCAGAATACAGTGTAGAGTGGCTTAGTCATACATGTTATCATCACAAATGTTCCATTTCTTGTTTCTTATTTATATATATATTCTCCCCCACCCCCATTTCTCACCCTCTGCCATATCCCACCCTCTTCCCACTCTATCTCTGGTATCTGCAGTTGCTTTCCATTCCTTTTTTTCTCCCACATTTTATTGGTTAACAAAATATCTTAATTGATCTAACTACGTTCAATAGCAAGTTCAGCCAATATATAAATATCTGTGAGCAAATATTTGACCTCAGGCATGGAACTGTGAGTAGAACGAATATACTGTAAAATAGCACCTAGCTGAGGCTATACAGCTTACCGTGGTCATTAAATAGGGATTTATTAATATGTTTTTTAATTTCAAGAGAGGTAGTTTTAACTTTTTTTTTTGAGAGATTTTTTGCCATAGGGCGCATGTGCTCGCCAGAGAGATAGAGAGAGACAAAGATACAGAAAGCAAGGAATCACCCCCCCAAGGGGGATGGCCATGCCACAATCCCTTCTCCTCCATTCTCCTCTCGGGATCTTGGGCATGCATGCACACGCACCAGGCGTGAGTTTAAGCCACCGGGTCTGGGACTCAAACCACGGTCGACTGCGTGGGAGTCCAGCAACATAGCCATTAGGCTAACTGCTGGTCTCGAGGCAGTTTTAACTTTAATAAATCAAAATTTAAAAAATGTTAAGAGAACTTCACTTAATACTTAAAGCCAGGAAGCAGGTTAGGATTCTGTTCAAATAGTAGTTACCTGGATCTGTCAACAATGCAAGAGAAGACAAAAAAATCTTTATCTATGGATTACAAAGCATAGAAAAAGATCAGTATTGTTTTCATCAAAAGCCATAAAATTCTATTTCATCAGTTCAGTCTCATGTACTTAATCTAACTTCTGTGGTGGTCCAAGCTTTTCGTTTAAATTCTGGAAGATAATATTCAACTCTGGACTTGTCCCTACCATCAAGCTGGCCTTTTTCTTAGATGGTTTTTTTTTTTTTTTTTGAGAGATTTTCACTGTAGGGCGCGTGCGCTCGCCAGACAGACAGAGAGAGACATAGAGACAGAAAGCGAGAAATTACCCCCCAGGGGGGATGGTCACACCGCAATCCCTTCTCCTCCATTCTCCTCTCGGGATCTTGGGCATGCACGCACACGCGCCCGGCGTGAGTTTTAAGCCACCGGGTCTGGGACACGAACCGCGGTCGACTACGTGGGAGTCCAGCGACATAGCCATTACTTTAACTGCTGGTTCCCTTTCTTAGATGGTTTTGAAGTCTTATTTCTGTGTGTCTGAGTTTAGTTTTCCTGATATAGCACTCCCTTCAAAACTTCTTGGAAAACTGGTCTGATGTCGGTAAATTCTTACAGGTATTGTTTACCTGAGAATGTTCTTGTCCTCTCTTCCCATATGAAGGATAATCTTGCTGGGTATAATATTCTTGGTTGAAATTGTTTTTCACTCAACACTTTGAATATATTTTTCCATTCTTTCCTTGCTCACATTGTTTCCGATGAGAGGTCCACTGTTAGCCTGATGGAATATCCTTTGTAGGTAACTCTTGCCTACAAAGGATATTCCTACAGTCTGAGTAACTTGTCTTTGTCCATGGTTTTGGTCAATCTGGCTATAATGTGTTGGAGAAGATCTTCTTGGGTTGATTCTATTTGGGGTCCTATGTATTTCTTGGGTCTGAATCTTTAGATTTTCAAACCTCTCTAGGTTTGAAAAGTTTTCTTCCAGGATTTCATGGAATAGATTAACAATGCCCTTATTAGTCTCTTCACCTTCTGGGATACCAGTTATCCGGATGTTTGGATGTTTGCTGGTATCTAGTATTTCTCCTATATTATTCTCGGTTTTTTGGGACTATTTTCTCAGTCTTTGTGGTGGATTATTTTAGGCCAGCGATTTTGTTTTCTACATCTGAGATTCAATCTTCTATATGATATAGTCTGTGTTTAATACTTTAAAGGAAGGTTTTGACTTCCTTTATTACAGCCTTCATCTAACAGTTCTGTTTGATTCTTTTTTATGGTATGTATTTCCTCTTTTAGATTGTGCAAGAACTTCCTCACCTCCTGGAACTCCTCAGCTCTGTTCTCCTGCCTCTTCTGGAGTTCATTGTTTTTCTTCTCTTGCATCTCTGTTAACTTTGTCACTATGAATATTCTAAACTCTTTATCAGACACTTCCATGATTTCCATTGAACTGTCTGTGGATGAAGAGGAGTTATTCTTTTCCCTTGGAGGAGAGGTATTTTCTTGCTTTCCCATATTTCTTGTGACCCTGTGGTGATTTCTAGTCATCTGATGGATGGTGCATTTCGTCCTAATTCTTAAAGTTCAATCTGAGCTGCAATCTCTTTGCCATTCCATTTTTATCCCATTGTGCAGCAGATTCAGTGGGAACTGAGGAACATGTTAACCCTAACAGTATTTGGATGTTTGGCTATGGTTCCCTTAGATCCATCTAGACACTCAGTGAATGGAGATTGAGCAGCAAAGTGATGAGGTAAAAGGAAAATAATAAGAAAACAGAGGGGGGGGGAGAGAAAGAGAGAGAGAGAGAGGAAGAAAAAAAGAGAAAAAAAAAACAACCAAAAATTTATTGATTGATTGATCTATCATTTTATTTTTAATTATCTTAAGTCTTAGGATGGAATAATTTACAAATCGATGCTGATGGTATATCTCCTCTACTTTAATCCTTCTAATAAATTGGCAAAAGCACCATTACCAATCACACATATATAGTAGTTCTTCAGTTTCCATTTGGTTTTGAACAGTTGCCTAACAATCCTAAATATTACTTAGTCTGACTTAGATCATAGAATTCAAAGGTGTAATTTAACATGCTACTAAATTTTGTCACATTGACTTTTAAAACCGTCTGACCTCACAAATCATGCATAAATATGTAAAGTGTAACATATTCTTCATTTGATAGTATACATAAACCACACTAAAATGTCTTTCAATAAGTAAAAGGCAGTATTTTGGATACAGGGAATTCTAATTAAATTGGTAGAGTTATGACCAAATACGTAAAGTAGACATCACTACCTTATCTTCAGCCTTTGCCTTAACAGGTTAATAAACGCAAATTAAAACACAGGTGAGTCTGCTTAGTTTTGAGAAGTTGGAGGAGTCCAACCCGGTGGGGCTCCAGGACCCATCTGAGCCCCTTGACCTTTGAGCATCGCTTCCGGTCGGTTCAGTGAGTTGGCAAGGCCGCGACTGTGTATGCCCCCTTGGAACAAGCTTGGGTCACTTAGCATGTTGGCAAGGCCGCCTGCTATTCGCTCCAGGACTGTGATAGCCTTGCTGGGATGGGACCCCCCTCTGACTCCCCGATA